ATACTTTATTACTATGTCCCTGTCACTTCAATGAATACTTGCTCCATACACATCCCCACTCTCATATATTATGTACTAACTAAAGTGATCTTTTTAAAACCAAATCATGTCACAGCTTTACTGAAAACTACTCAGTGGTTTCCTACTTAATTCAGAACAAACACCAACACCCTTATAATGGCACAAAAGATACTGAGCTGATTCATGGTCAATTAGTCTTCCTGTTGCTCCTTCCCCTCTATCCACTCTGCTGTTCTATAAATGTATCAGATGCACTCCCATCTCAACACTCTTTTGTATCTGTTATTGCCAGTGCCTAGAAAGTTCTCCCACGTGGCCACATAACCTATTCTCTTACCTTTCTCATTTGTTTTTCAAATGTCACTCTCTTGATATCCTTCTTAGAGAAAACTTCCATGACTATGTCCTTAAAATTACAAACTCTCCCTATAAGTAATCACACTTGTATTTTTCCTTTATCATTATCTGATACATTAAATATTGTTCTTATTTATTATTGTTGTTCTCTGTTCTCCATAATATAATTTCTATAAAAGCAGGACATAGTAACTACTCAATGCATCATTTTAAATGATGAAGTAAGTATTCTTATAATTTAAAATATGGTAGTGAGCTAAACTATGCCAGATTTTCTATCAATATAATCTCAAATGATACAACACAATTACTGTGATGTATGAACCCTCTTATAAGCACAGAAAAGAGTTTGAAGAGCACTTTGAGAATAGAAACATTGACACACAAACTGTGTAATAATGATTCACTGTATCAGTTTAGAAGGGGAGCAGTTCAAATCATGGGCAGGTTCTTAGCTAAAGATGAGGAGTGCTGCCTTTGCTAACCAAGCTGATGCAGCATGCTCCCCTAAACTCTGAGAAAAGCATAACGTGAGGATCAAGGTGGCATCATGAGCATTTTTCAGAATTCAAGTACATGAACTTTTCTTATAAATGGCTTTCTATTTATTCTATGCCCCTAATGCATCTGAAACTATATTTAGATTCTGAATTTGTAAGATTTTGTGGCTTAGTAGAAAGAACATAGATACCTGGATCTTAACTTATTTGACTAGCTGTGAGTGATCAGGAGAATTATTAACATGCTATATTTCAATCACTTCATTTATAAACTAATTTTTGAGAATATAATGGTATAAAGTACACAAAATGTTCTTGATATTTAGACAGTGAATGAATGTAAATATTAGCACAGCTTTGGAGTCAGAAATATTTGAGATTAAACCTTGGGTGTGTCACTACTGTGTATGAGCAATAACCTGAATTTTAGTTGCTGTGTATATAAGATGGGGTGATCACATCTAACATGCTGTTGTGAAATATGAGAATAACAAGATAAGGCACCTAGCATGGGTCCTTTGTGTAACAGGTACATACATATTAAAGAATGACCTCAAAGAAACAATAGGAATAGGCAAGGACTTCCTCACTAGAACTCCATCAGTACAGCAACTAAGAGAAAGGATGGATAAATGGGACTACATGAAATTAAAAAGCTTTCTGTACAATAAAAGAAATGGTCTTTAAAGTGAAGAGACCACCCACAGAATAGGGGAAAATATTTGCTAGCTATATATCAGACAAAGGACTGATAACCAGAATATACAGTGTTCAAAAAACTAAACTCCCCAAAAATCAATGAACTAATAAAGAAGTGGGCAACTGAACTAATCAGAACTTTTTCTAAGAAAGAAATCCAAAAGGCTGAAAAACACACAAAAAAATGCTCACTGTTCCTGCCCATAAAGGAAATGCAAGTCAAAACCACACTAAGATTCACCTCACCACTGTTAGAATGGCTATTATCAAGAACACCACCACCAAAAAATGCTGATGAGGATGCAGGGGGCAAAAAGGAATCCTGATACACTGGTGGTGGGAATGCAAGCTAGTACATAATGTTTTCCATTTTGGAAATGATATGGAGGCTCCTTAAAAAACTAAACATAGATCTGCTCTATGATTCAGCAATGCCACTCCTAGGGATATACATAAAGGAATGCGACTCAAGTTATTATAAAACCACCTGCATACCAATGTTTCTTGCAGCACTATTCACAACAGCCAAGCTGTGGAAACAGCCAAGATGCCTCACTACCAACAAATGGATCAAGAAAGTGTGGTATTTATACACAATGGAATTTTACTCAGCCACAAAGAAGAATGAAATTTTGTCATTTGCAGGTAAATGGATAGAACTAGAGAACATCATCTTAAGTGAAGTTAGCCAGGCTCAGAAGGCCAAAAATCACATGTTCTCCCTAATATATGGATTATGGCACGGGGGGAGGTGGCACAAACAATGTACACACATGTAAGTAAATGTAAAAGTGATAAAATAAAAAAAATAACTTCACTTGTCAAAAGTATTCTAGTCTCTAGAATAACATCACAATAACTGGTGGTATTTATAGCAAATAATATTTTTATATTCACTTTATTTAATCAACATTTAGTGTGATTATAGAAACTAATAATATAAATAATCAGGTGATCAAGTCAAGGTCACAAGGTACATAAATATTTATGGCATTAATAAAATATGTGGAGATTGTGTTTCACATATTGTATTTAAGGAAACAGGAAACAAAAGTACATATTTGAAAGATTTGATGCAATCCAGAGATTAAGAACTAAATAACTGAAATTTTTAGGTGCTTTCTGGCAACTCACTTATTTAAAGATTCTAAAGATTGATTTGAGTAGAAATTTTATTAACATGAACATGTTCCTTCTGGGTAACTATAGAGAGCTGTGTCCATCCGGCACAAAGTGGAAGCTTAAACAGGCAGAATTCCCACAATCTAAGATTTGTGATCCATAAAAGGAAGAAGTATACATTCTGTGGTCTGACAAATTAATGACTTTTTATAGTTTGTAGCACCAGTCAGAACCTTAATAGCCTTTGTCAGGGCTGCTCTAAATAACATTCTCATAGGAGGTAAAAATCGGACTAGGTGAACCTAAAAATACTTTATAATTGCCTATAGTTGATAATGTGATTACTTAATATATGTCTCATAGTAAATGAGACATAGAATGACAATAAATGCAAAATGACCTTTAAATGAAACTCAGGACTCATAAAATAAACCTACTTTGAGTGTATAGCATATTCATTCAGCCTTTGATAAAGTCAGCAATTTTGTGTTTTATTTTTAGATTGTTAATAATTCTAGAGCAACCGTGAATAATCTGATTGTGAAGTATCTTTCATGTAGAGTAATTCAAAGTTTCACATATCTGTAAATATATCAGTCAGGGAAATTAAAATGCAGTTGAAAAAAGGGGCTGAGAATTATGGAAAAAGAGAATATATCATTAGGATGTGAAAGAATATAATTGACTATTGATGGATGCAGCATGTCAGAATGATTTGGAAAAAAAATTCCAAATGAGGCAGATTATGGTGTGCCCCAAATTAGAAATAGAACATAGTGAGTGAAGGAAAACACTGATGTCTTCTGCAGCCATTCAAGTGGAGCAACCTTGGAACACTCCCAGATCCTCTTCCTGTCACCAGAGTTGTGATGGAATTTAGAAAGTCATTTCACCTCAAATTTGTTGAAGTGGAAAATACCTTAATGCTAAGTGAACAATTTAATTTAGTGCAATAAACTGAAATATTTTTATATGTCTTTATTCTTTTGATACCATAAAATTTTGAATTTTCCTTTCCCAATTTAATTTCTATATTGCCTTTAATAGCCTTTGGTAAGTTGCGGTGACTTCCTTTCTAATAACTACTAAGAAGCCCAGGTTTACAAATTTAATTATTTCCCCAATGTACTATTTAATTATAGATCAAAAATTTTTAATTTCACCAAAGGCTAAAAAAAATCCTTTTTTTCTTTTGGTGATACTGGGCTTTGAACTCAGCTTCATGCTTGCTAAACAGGTGCTCTACTGCTTGAGCCACTCTGCCAGTCCAAAAGTAACTTTTGAAATCAGTAATTTGGGCTTTCAAAAACAAGTATTTAATTAATCCCCCATGCCAAAATAAAGTAGAAATCTCCATTGGTTTACTTTCTACCAGGTATGTATCTGTTAGCTCTCCCATCTGCCACAAGCCAGGTCTCTAGCATCCTTTTCCATTACTTAACTTGCAACCTTCTCTTTCCAGTATTCTCCAATATTAAACAAAAGTTATCTCCTTCTAATATAAACAAATTTTCTTTTACACGTTATTTTATAATTTTATTTTTGTAAAAATTGAATTCAAAGTCCACAGCAGCATCGATGATCTCTTTCTTAGTTGCTTTATGCCCTAGACATTCCCTTTACCAGCCAGCTCCCCTGACTCATCCTTTCTTTCAGTAACTGCCTTCAGGCTATTCCATACATGTGCTTTAAATGCTACCTATCTTTCCATCTCTAAAAGCAGTCCTAGCCATCCCTCTCCAGCCATTAGGTGATTACAGAAATACAATCTTCATCAACAAAACTGCCTGAATGGTGAAAGAGTTGATGCTGTGCTTTTGTTCTGAGTGGACAAGAACTGTAGGCCAGTGTGTCTCCTATATGATTTAAAGGCTTTATTTTACAACTTGTTGCTGCTGTTGTTTTAATTCTATTTTTCATATGTGCTATGGGTAACTATGTTTGCTATTCTCAGGAACACTATCTTGGTCAATGCAATTTAAAACTACCATTTTCATGACATGACACTAAAATTATGAAGCTATAAGTACTTATTGAATGGAAATTCCAATTGGCAGAATCTGAATTTTTTTGTATATTTATATAAAATAATTTATGTGTGGATATAAATATATGAATATAAAATCTATATGCATATGTACCTGCATTTTATATGTATAAAAGTCATATTTACAGAAAATTGATTATTTAAGTAACACATGTATAACACAACACAGTTTCACTCAAGTATCCCAAAACTTCTATCTACTGATCACACATTATACAAAAACACCATGGTGTGAATATACAGCTATGAATTACCTCTTCTTTTCTTGTTTCATGTCCTTTCTGCACAAACCAGATGACTTTTGCTTGTAAAGATCGTGGGGTACATTCCAGCAAAGTACTGTTGTTCTCTATGCCATAAGCAAGTCTCTCTTCGGTTTTATCCAAAGCATCTCCTACAAGAAGAATGTTAATATTAGCCTTGAAATTTTGATTTTACTGGTAAAAGTTGTTTTTAAAAAATCTAAGATATTTTTGTAAGCATATATGTAAATATCACAATGTATCCCCTGTACAACTATTATATGCCAATAAATCATAAAACAGAATAAAAAAGAAAAAATTCTTTATTCAGATCACTGTAGCAATGCAAGTAACTATTATTTGTTGATAATTTTCATGCAATGTCACTTAGAGAAATCAGTAAGAGGTTGCATATCAAAATCTAGGCATTAAAAAGGAAAGTAGTCTATGGAGTGGGATTGAAGGAAGCAAGTGGAACTTTGGTTCTAAAAGATGGGATCCTGAGGAATCTGTGAAGTGTACTGAGGTTAAGCTCATGGAAACTCAATGGCAACATCCACTGATATGGCAGGAAAAAGAAGGTAAGCCCCAGCTGTTCAAGTAAGGCATAGATTAAATTCATCTTTGCATGCAAAAGTGGAAATGAGAAATCTACATGATCTGGCATTACATAGACAAGTGTTGATGATACTTCTGCAAGGAATTGCACTTATCCATGTGTCAGACTCATTTGTAAGAAGAGAGAACAACATTGCACTAAGGATTTTTTTTGACTTAAGTGTTTTTGGATTATATGCTGTCTTGGACAAGAAAAGGCCTTACTAAACTTGAATTCAAAGTTGTAGCAGGCAAGAATACTTACTGTGGTAGAAAATAAAAGCAAGTAATTTTTTTCTTTTTTTGTTTTAACCATGATGAATTTATTAACTACAACCCAGGATGTTTTTTTCCCCAACACTTCAGTCTTCTTCATTTTCAAAAGCAAACCCTAAATTTTCCAACTGTTAAGGCTATGCTTTCTTTTGCCTATATTTCCACAGGTTTGAGTCTTGCACTGAATGCTGGTCAGCCTCAGTCCAGTAATTGATTCTGGACTACAATCTGTGAATGTGGGAATGACCAATCACTGTGCCCTTCCACCTGTTACTGCCTCGGGACCCAATGACATGAAACACAACCTGTTCATCATCCATCATAATGGGAAGAGTAAGGAAAGCATTTTTCTGTTGTGCTTTACTTCTTTATATTTGTCTAAAGCTGAAACCAACCAGCACTGGCTCTAGGGTTGCTCTAGTAAAAGAGGAAAGGGTTCAGTTTCTTCCAAATCTTAGTAAGTGAACTGAAGCTCTATCACACTTGATAAAGCCAGTTTTGAGATGAATAGATAAATTCTGAGAGACACTGTGTCATCAGCCACCTGAAGTATGCTGAAGTTTTGTTTTAAGATTCCCAAGCTTTGAGGTCTAATAGGAAATCTTGATGATGGTATGTGATACCTATTTTGCTGATTCTATAAAAACTACGTGTCAAATCCACAAAATTTAACACATGGAAGAAAACAGATGAATACTGATGGTGACATTGTTCTGGCACAGATGAATCACAAAGAAAATGACTCAATAGAGGAAATGTAGAGTTCATCCTCAGTGTACACTGTAATTGACTTTGTGTGGATTACCAGCAAACTGTTGTCCAAAGCATTGCTGAGCTGCATTTCCATGCCGGACATCTTGTCTGCGGAATCGCCTGAAGAAACAAAATGCATTTAAATGTTCAAATTTCAATTCTCCAGATTTTAAAATATAAGCAATCACATTAAATATTCAAGTAACATTCTGCTATTGAAAAGACTGGTGTGTTTTGAAACAAATATAAAATTGAACTTTCATACTTTCCATATTTTCAACATTAAGATCTACATAACACTGTTCTTTAAATGTATACATAATATTGAATTTTGAATCCCCAAACAATAATTCACCAACTTTCTCTTTACATTTTGCTAAAAACTTAGCTCAATGAGAAACTTCTGGTTTAAAGGAATGTTTTGAGTGACAAGGGATGTATGCAGATAAGACAATATTTGAGCACAAAGTGTCATATAACAAAGTTTATAGGAAAAAAGACATTTATTTGAAGCCAAATATTTTGTTCTAGGGTCATAATGATCAATTAGCACAAATATGGTTTCAAATAAAAACAGGTAAGTTAATAATATGTTCAGCTTACTCTTTTATTCAAACATAATATTTACAAAGTATATACCTCTATTCAATGTGCTGGTGTGTTATACATATTTACTAGTATGTGTTTCATCTTGTAGGACTCAAGAAATATTAAGTATGCTTATTAGGACTACTCTACTGTATTTTATAGATTGCTTAGACATACAAACTTTAAAAAATATAATTGTCTATATCCATGGAAAAGATTTCCAGAATATATATCAAGTTTTACATTTTTAAACAACTTTCTAAGGAATTATCCAATAGAAATTATCATGATTTGTACTGGAATTCTAGAGTCAATATCTGCGGTGTCCTTAATTCAAATTAGAGATAAAAAGAGAAGTATTACATAAATGTGGAAAATACCACTTTCTTCTCTAAGTCATGGCATTTTTTTCAAGACTAAGGGAATGGATGGAATTGGAGAACATCATTCTGAGTGAGGTTAGCCTGGCCCAAAAGACCAAAAATCATATGTTCTTCCTCATATGTGGACATTAGATCAAGGGCAAACACAACAAGGGGATTGGACTATGAGCACATGATAAAAGCGAGAGCACACAAGGAAGGGGTGAGGATAGGCAAGACACCTAAAAACTAGCTAGCATTTGTTGCCCTTAATGCAGAGAAACTAAAGCAGATACCTTAAAGCAACTGAGGCCAATAGGAAACGGGGAACAGGTACTAGAGAAAAGGTTAGATCAAAAAGAATTAACCTAGAAGGTAACACCCACGCACAGGAAATCAATGTGAGTCAATGCCCTGTATAGCTATCCTTATCTCAACCAGCAAAAACCCTTGTTCCTTCCTATTATTGCTTATACTCTCTCTACAACAAAATTAGAAATAAGGGCAAAATAGTTTCTGCTGGGTATTGGGGGGGGGAGAGGGAGGGGGCGAAGTGGGTGGTAAGGGAGGGGGTGGGGGCAGGGGGGGAGAAATGAACCAAGCCTTGTATGCACATATGAATAATAAAAGAAAAATGAAAAAAAAAAAGACTAAGGGAAAATAGAAAGCAAAGCCTATGTGTACCCTGGAGAGTGACAGTGAAGTTAAGTAAGTGACAATGAGATACTTTAACTACATGCAATGATTTTTTTAAAAAGTGAGATTCAAATCCCAGTGCCACTACTAACATCTCTATGACTTTGTGCACAGCTCTTTTCTTTCCTGGTTCTTTGTATCCTTGTTTTTAAATGGAGCTGGTTACTAAAACTTAAAATCTATTAGAGTCACAATGATTTTTGTTTTGCTTTTGTTATTCCAGGGTTTCCTCATTGCCTGGAAATAATAATGATGATGATGATGATGATGATAGCAATAATAATACTTCAAGAGTTGAAATGCTTTCTCACACAGGAATTTTGACCCTTTAAAACAATTTAATATATCTCAAAAGATAGGGCAGATGAATCTTCTAAATGTTAGGATTATTAACCATATTCAAAAGAATACTTTTTTTTGTTGTTTTAAATAGATTAAAGATTAGAAAACCTTATCTAAACACCCAGGATAATGCAAAGTTAAAGTTAATATTGTCACATCAATCCTTCTGTTAAGCTAGATTGAACATAGAACTTGTAAAGCAAAGTAACAAGCAAAACTAGAAAGTTTTCTGTTTTTATATTATTTTATACTAGCATATATATATTATTATACAAGTGATAGCAAATCTAGCTATTGTTCATTCCTCCCTTGGTTGAGTGTGGCTTTAGCATTGAGAATCTAAAGTCTATTGAACAATGATGATTAATGGAGCAGAGAAAATGAAATGGTTTCCACTTTACAGAGATGGTGTTTTATCGAATAAAGAAAACAGCAATCATGTAGTTCTATGTAAGTTACTTGAGTAGTAAGTGAAAAGTACAAAAAGTTTGTTTAAAATAATTGGAAGCATGCATTAAAATGGACACGAATGTCCTCAAGCAAAGTTTCAGCTCATATTATACCAATTCCACATGATTGTGCTTCAATTCAGCATTAAAAATAGCATGTCTTTGAATGAGAAGTTTGAGACTGTTAGAGCAAAGTTTCCTTTCATTCTGAAAATTGCATATTTTTCTTGTATCTCCAGCCTCTTAGAAACCTTTAAAGAGAACACTGGAAATAGACAAAGGGAGGGCAAGGAAGAGAAAAAGACCCAGCTTTATAAATTATAGTGTACTTTGGAAGGCCATATTAAACAAGTGGTTTGGATTGTGAATTAATATTTTTCCCCTGTTGACTCATTTTCACTCTGTGAGCAGAAAAGTATTTATTTTAATGACCATTTTTCAATTTCTGCTTCTATTCCGGTCTGAAGCAAAAATGATCTGCTATAAAAGCAAACTATTCTCTCTTCATGTCCTGGAACTTGTCCAAAACGTTCTCAGGGGTGGTAATGGTTCAAAAGAATTTGACACCACTGAAGGATCTCCATTCCATGCCACTGAACTGAACTAATTCACTTATGAGTGTGGCTTCTGACTCCAGCTTTTCATTCCTTCCTGTCTACCATTTTGCCCATTTATTTAACTTTTCTAAGTAACTCCTTTTCCCTATTCCTTTTAAGACATTACCAATTAAGACTGCTGTTTGCTGATGGCTGTTTTTGCTCAGTTAAAATTCATCATCACTGCCATATGCCTAATATAAAACCTTGCTTTTCATAAGCATTAGTGCAAGGCTTGTAAAACTTTTTATTGTTGGTAATAATAATAAAATAATTAGCTTTATTATTTTTGCAAAAATTACCTTTCCTAAGGTTATGAAAGAAAATAATAATTGGCTTGTATTTCAAATACTGGAAGAAAAGATTTTGAATGTGTTCACCATGAAGAAATTCTAAATGCTTGACCATTGTGTTTAATCATTACGATTTAATCATAACATAATATACTCATGATGTCAGTAACATCACATGATACTGCATCAATATATTTTCATGTCAGTTAATAATAAATTTTAAAAACTCACTAATTTTAAGTCTCTAAAAAATTAACTATTCACCCATGAATCCTGCTACTTTACTCCTGAGTCATGGAACTGCAGGGTTTTCCCTGAGCATTCTATGCCTTTGCACAAACAATCCTCTTTACTGGAATCTTCGTATGTCTCTACTTCCAGGATTGTGCTCAATAAGTGCTCAAAAAATTCATTAATTTTGAGAACTGAATAAAGTATTGTGTGCATTGCACTTGGTGCTCAATAGTAAGTCACTACCACATGCAGTTCCACTCTCCGCCCTCAGTTCTGATTTTCTGCAGACAACAGTCAGTGAGTGTTTCTTCATACTTCTTGTTCATAGTACAGTAATTGGATTATTAGGTGAATAAGTCACTAATCAACTTTTTCAAATAATATTATGGCTACATTCTTCAAGAATCATTTTAAATATCAGCAAGTATTAATTAACTTGCTGCATTCTTTAACACTATTGGTCAATTATTTAGCTCACAAATGTCCTCTTTTCACATTAGCTTATTATAACCTTTCTTTAAATATTCATTCAAATGTTAATTTAGGTCAAATTAACAAGAGTTTCTGAATTAAGAGTCTCCTATGAGTGTGAACCAAGAACAAATCATTACACTAAATTGGGTTCAATTATATTCTTTAAAAAGTTTAAGAAAAATAACTCAAATTTAAGTAGTTTGATTACTTGAAATTAGTACGGACTAATTTTCAGTAGAAAATACTTTGTACAGTTTCATATATTTTGCTTTATTTTGTCTTTGGTCACTCTTCCATAAGGAAAAAAACCCTCTTAATTCTATGACAAATAAAAAAAATTTTCCATATTTATTTTCCCAAAGTATGCTCAGCTTTCTATGACTTGAGTAGAGACTTATTCTTCAAAGTTCTTTGTGAACTCCAAGTTCTCCTGTTTAAAGAATCCTTGTTTTACCTTCTCTAACAAATGGCAGTGACCTACAGAGTTGTAGAAAATAGAGTTTAGAGCTCTGTAAGTACCTTTCATTTGTGTTGAATTAAATCACACATTTCATTAATTATACAGGTCATGTATTTGCCTAGGAGTTAAAATATTCACTTTCAAAATGAAATAAATGAAGACCAGCTGGTAGAGAAGACAAGGGAAATTGCAGGATGTATTTTAGAATTTATTTATTTATTTTCTTTTTAAGTCTTCAAATCCTTCAAGTGTGGTGGCCTGCCATTTCCACATTTTAAGTTTATCTAAACTTGTTTCATATCTTGCAACAAAAATCTCAGAAAATGGAAGAGGATGTGAACCCAGATGAAAAAATGAAACCCCAAAATTATGATTAGCTCCAGTCTATGAACACAATAATCGATTAAAGTTACCTTCAGGAAAATTTCAAGTTTTCAAAGCTTATATTAGGATTAAAATATAATAACTATGATTAGTTATTTAAATAAAATTAGTGTGGTCATTTTTATTGAATGAGTACAAAAAGAAAAAGAAAAAAGAGCACCAGAGATTTCCTGAACTGTGAAAATATTCTATCAAGTAGTATGATTCACCTTTTTGCATGTGTGCCTGTGGGAAAGTACCGGGAACACGATATGCCATCCCAGGCACAGTAAGGGTCTCGAGCCAGGCAGCAGTCAGCACAAGCACTTCCATACATGTCACAGTGGTGGAACCTGACTTGAGCCACAGCAGAAGCAGATCCAATATACAGCTGTTGCTATGGAAAACAGAGAAAGCCAGTAGCAGAAATGAAAATCATAACTTTCATTGAGCAATTTCCCTGGACTTCCACATTTATACACAATGACCTCTATAAATATTCATTTAAATCATACGAGTTGCCCAGGTTACATTATGATCACTGATATATTTCTCCAAAATTTGAAGTACTTTTAAAGACGTAAATGCAGGAGTAGTAAAACTGCTAACCTGAGCTTGACAAGAAATAAAAGCTATCTACTCTTTTATTCACTATCAAAGCAGAAAAACTCTTACATTACCGAACACTAGATCTTCCTTTAAAAATCTATAGTAACATCCAGTAAGAGATTGGATAAGTGCTCTTTTAAATATTGATATAAATATTTAGAAGCATGACATACACATATTTACATACACACACATATAATGACATAGGACACACTGTAAAATGCACTAGACCAGAACAACAAGTAGCAGGACATTTAATATCATGTGTTCCCATCTTCTAAACATGAAAGGTTTTTGATAAATAAATCTGAGGTGATATAAGCAACAATTGTTCCTGGACAGATTCCAGTGAAGTGGAAGAAAGATGTGTTTCACTGCATACTATTTGACTTATTATTATTACCATTATTTTTCAAAATCAATAGCACAAAGTAACTGGGAAGTGATGTCTTATGATTCTAGAATTAAACCTAGTCTCATCTTCCTTTCTATAAAATAGGGAATGAAAACATCCATAAAATAGAAATGGCTATATACTTTTGTCAAGACTATCCAATGGGCATAAAATTTCAGTTAAGTAAGATTTGTAAGCTCTATGGATCTGCTGTATAACATTGCACTTAGAGTCAAAAATAGTTTAATGTATACTTTAAAAATTCATTAAGATGATAGATCTCTTACCATAATAAAAGACAACTGTACATTTTCATATACAGGATCATGTACTAATATTCTTGCATCCCTTACCTTGACTAACATATAGAACACAAACACAACTTACTCTTTTTGAAGAAATCTCCATTGAAATGATAGGAACTGGATCCTGAAATTAAATTAAAAGTTTAATTTAAAGGAAAGGAAGTATAGGACTATTACCTTAATAAGTCTGTAAATTACCTGAAATCAAATTAGATGTATTTGGGGGTCTATCCTTGGCAGCGTATAGCTTTTGTTTTTGCAAATCAATATGTACATCCAATTAAAATAAAATAAAGCTTTAAATTTTTTCCTAATGGAGTGGAACAGATATAGAGATGAAAACAAGTAGCAAATAATCTAACTAGCTTACTGTTTGTTTCTGGAATATAATTATCTATTTCCATGTGAATATCACTTATGCTTAGAAACTCCTGTATCCTTAAAGGAAATAATAAATTCAGAGGTTTTTTTTCTTATAAAATACTTGAATCATTAGAAGTAACCTAGTTATGTCTTCATAAACCATACGATCTATTAATTATTTTAAACCAAGTAGGTTTTGTTTAAAACACTTTTTTTGTCATAATTACTGTGAGTCACTAAGAATTCAGGATTCATTGAACAAGATGAAGAACTTCATTTTCTTACAATTACACCAGAGGAATGATAATACACAGTACAGCTTTGAGAGTCTTTGTGCTATTTCAGCAATGTTATGATTAGAGCATTTTTAAGGAGCACAACAAACTCCAATTAGTCCTGCAAGTGGAAAAACATTAGGCAGATGGAGTTCACTCTGGGGATAACCACTTTTTGAAGAGTTGTTTTCCAGAACAGACTATTTGATCTTCTCTATCATTCATTTTTGAAGAAACTATTTTAAATTACAAAACCCTTCACGCATTTACACATCATTCCTTTATTCATTCAGGCCATGATGTTTCTTAAGAGTTTATATGAAAAGATACTGTGATGGATGCTATTATACAAGAGCCATGGTTCCTAACATGAAGTGAAATCATACACAAAGTCTAGGAGCGTGGTTATCTAAGCATGTAGCTTTGTGGAATCTAGTCTCCAGGATCACAAAGGCAAAATGTATTGCTTTTCATTAATAAAATCTTTTCACATACATCCATTAGACATAGGTATGACCAATCCTTATTATCTAGATATTCTGTATTTGCAACTTTTGCCTGCTAAAATTAATTTGCTTTCTTAATATCATCACTTGCTGTGTTTTTCATTTGCCAATAAGCTCATGCACAGTTGCAAAAAAAAAAAAAAGATTTGCAGAGTATACAGATACTCAGGTGAATGCAAACAATGCTCTGTGTTCTTGTTTCATCAGTTCTCATGTAAATAGTGCCCTTTTCATGGACTATTTAGTATCATGTTTTTCATACTGCTATACTTTTTGTTAGTGCTTTTCTGTTTAAAATGGCTTCCAAGCATAGAGAAGCAGTGATGTTTCATATTTCTAACCACAGAATGGCTGCACTGCATCCTAGGATAGAAAAGGTGTTTAGTTATCATGAAAGCCGCATTCAGGCATAAATTAGAGTGCTACTGACTGTGAGCTCAATACTAATTAATTTATGTTTCTTCAAAAAGAAACATAAAACAAGGTTTTATTGATCAGATGAAAATGTTGTGATCAGAAATCTTCAGGATCCTCCCTGTCAGGAGCAAGAGTCTGTATTTATGTGACCCTAAAGACCACAACTGCTGTGAATAATCAGGTCTTAAAGTATATATTTATAGACTATTATATAGACATACATAGATATATGTTAACATTACTGTTTTATCCTATAAGCTTTCCATTATCATTTTCTACTCATTCTGTTTTAGTAATTAAAAATGGTATGTATGTCCACAAAATGAAAACATATTGCTTTTTTTGTCTGTATTGGTAATACATTTGTATAAGATATGACCAACTTTGCAATAATGTTTCTAGAATTCACATGTAGCATAAGAGTTATTCCTTTGTAGTATTTTCACACTAAATAAGCATTGGTCTCTTCTTTTGAAAAGTCTATGGCAATCAAAAGAGGCATTAGGAAGTTAAGTTATTCTTCACTTCAATTTTCTCTCAATTGAAAATACATGTTAGAGGAAAATAAAGTGAAATTGACACAATATTTTTCTTATTTACTTCTCAGTTTTAGAGGACTTTAATGCCCATAAATTTAATAATACCTTGAATATCTGAAGTTCTTCTAGAATTACTTCTTCCATTGATTCTGTTTCTTGGTTGTAAATTGTGATTACTTTCAACACAATTCCAGTATCTGTAAGAAACCAGAAGAAATAAATTAAAAGCTAAGTCACAATCTTGATTTCAAGTAATTAAAAACAGATAGGGACTATGAATTTAAATAAGATTTGAAATCTAGATGTGTAAAACATTTTATCACTGACAGTTAAAGCTCATATGACTACCAGGCAGGTGAAGTAGCTCAAGTGGTAGGCAGAGTGCCTACCAAGTAAACTCAAGACCCTGAGTTCAAACCCCAGTACTCCAAAAAAAAATTTAAATAAAGTGCAAGTTTAAAATCACATAACTACTTCTATATCCGTATTTTCATTTAACAAAAAAAGTAAGATTTGTATGCCTGACCAAAAATTTAAATAAAATAGGATGTATTTCCAAATACCTGGTGAATAAACAAATCAAATTATAGTCAAATGTCTTTTGGAATTATGAATTATGAGAGATGATGTATTGATTTTAGCTTCTTCTGTGAGGCATGATACAAGAAAAAATTTTACCAAAGCTTCTTTCATGGTAAGAAACTACACTTGTAATCTTGAGGAACATTCCAAGCATGACAGAAATCATACAGACATTGTTTGTTTTTGCTCTGCTAGGGATTGAACCCAGGGCCTTCCATGTGTTAGGCAAACCCTCCACTGACCTACATCTCCAGCCCTGTACACACTTTTAACAAGACAAATTCATGCTACTAAGGGAAGAGTAGCAGTCTTCCAGTAACAGCCATGTAGCTCCTATAATTATGCATTATTTTATAAATTTACATTTAAAATTTCCATCTTATTTTTATCATGCACAATATCCTCAGCTTGTTCCTTACAATGAAAATTTTATACAACTTTAATTTACCTACAGAAATAATTTGATTTAGTATTAGAAATAATCATTCAGAAAAAAGCACTTTGAAAGTATTGATTCAAGAGTTTCTATGGTGTTTCAGCAGTTTACTGAAAAATTATCAAATCTTGTGTTGGATTAAAATTAAACCAATAATTACTTGTATTTTTGACTAACTAAAAAGAACAACAATTATCATCATTTTGAAAGCTAAGCATATATTAAATAGTGCACAATTATGTCAGGTAAAATGCAAAGATATAAGCTAAATCATTAATTTGCAAGGTGTGATTTTGCAATAATGACTGTGTGTTGTATGATAGCCGATGTCTGATAAATATTAGGAAAAATAACTATCATTTATGGAGTCTTTCAATGAAATCATCAGCATCAGTGATTCAAGATGATGACAGCTTTGTCTTGGGACATCTGATTGGACAGTATTTCTGCAATTTTCTCAAATGGCTTAGGCCAATCTGACAAGGAAATATTTCTAGGACTGTTATACATGTCTTCTGGTTCCCAGGCATTTAAAAATAAGATATTTTCATTAATTTTATCAAATTTGAGTCTTGTTTAGGGAACCTTTTTTAGACCTGTCAGAAGTCACTATAAGTAAATTCATAAATTTTAAGTTGCTACAGAAGTCGAACGCTTTGATAATCTTGAACTCTCAGTACAGAGCACATTATTAACATTGACCTCCTAAATATGATAAAATATAGCTTTACTGGAGATTAATTCCTAGAAATAAGAGGAATCTTTCCTTGCTTAGATGTTTTTTAAGTATTATTGGTACATCCTGATTCCTGATTTGGGAATATGACAGCATCCTTTCAGAAGCATGTCTATGTCTGAAGCTGCATAGGGAAGAATGCCTATTCTTATAAACAATCGTCTGCTATATCAATTACTATGTGATTATTTTAATCACAAGGAAACTCCCTGTGAAGCCACCTTTATCTCAAGCAAGCAAAAATGTCAAGTTTTTCTTTTTTACTTTTTTATCTATAAAATCAGAGAACAGGAGTGGAGGGTTGGTACAAGTAGGAGGAGGAGGGGGAGGGGAAAGGGTATAGGAGGGTGAATATGGTGCAAATACTGTGTATGTAAATGCAAAAATGATACCTGTTGAAACTATTTCAGGAATGGTGGGAGTGGGGATAAAGGAGAGCATTGGAAAGGGTGAATTCAAGTATGGCGTATTTGATACGCTGTAAAAACTTCTGTAAATGCCACAGTGTACCCCCCACGTAGCACAATAGTAAAAAAAAAAGAAAGTGCTAAAAAAAAGAGAAATGATTATACTCTAGTATTATAGATGTAGGACAGTATGTATCAAACCTCTGTGAATGTAAAGTATCTTGCACCTGCTTTATGATACGTAGTAGTGACTGTGCTTTATCAGAGCTGTTTTTAATGATGTTACTCTAGAATGTTTTCTTTCTAAATGATGATTGAGAAGCTAATAAAAAAAATGGTGCCAGGTACCACAATAGTAACAGAAAATTGCTGTTTTCTGGGGTTTTGTTTTTTTTACTTTTTCACTTTTGTTGTTGTTGTTTTGTTTTGGTTTGGTTTTTTTGTTGTTTTAATGGAGTATGCTAGATGTCTCTATAATTTTGTTCAGATGACTGCAGAACCTGGAAAAGCTGTTGCTGCTATTGATGCATAACATACTGCTATTATTGGTCTTTTTATATAAATATAAATATATATATATATATACATATATATATAATTTGAATTTTTGGAAACTTTAGCTGTGCTGTCAACTTTGGAAAAAAGTATCCCGGTTTACTGTGTTGAGTTGGCATTGTACAGAAATTAATAGCCATATTGGTCTAGAAACGTTAAACTTAATTTTTTTTTCCATTTGTACAGGGGTAACGCACTGTATTAAATATGTAAGGTCTTATCTACGTGGGTTTGATTACAGAAACTAATAAAGTATTCTCTAAATTAAAAAAAAAATGTTTAGGATTTTGAAGTACTTCACAGAATTTGCTCCATATTACTCTGTATGTTGAAAGATTCTAAGTTCTCTTCCACAAGTTAGAGCAAATGTATGACATTAATAGCTATTATGAATTCATTTGAAAATTTCACTTTCAGCATATTCATTACTCTTTGTTTTGTTAGCACAGAATATTATTAAAAATAATAATAGGAATTTTGCCTATCTGGTAAAGTGATTATTCTGAGAAAGGCTGATAAGTATTGCTGTTTTTATAGATCTGTGTGAAGTTACTGCCTCAACTTGTCTGTCATGAGGCCTTACAGAGCAACACAGGCAGTAATAGGGCTGGAGGACTGACAGCAGAACATCATTCTATGGTACTCTGCTTCCTTTTTAATGAACTGAAGTTGGAACCAATATTGCTTCGTGAGCATGATTATAATTTTTTTGAGAAAGGGTCTAGCTGTGTGACCTAGTACTGTGTGTAACTAACTATGCAGCCCAGGATGGCCTTGAAATGATGATCCTTTGTCTCAGCATGTCAAGTGTTGGTGTTACAGGTGTGTGCTATGCTACAACACCCAGCTCAATTATTCATTTCTTCACCTATTTAATTTTTTTGAAATGTATTTAGTATTGACAACATATCAGGAATTATATGCTATGACCACCGCAAATCCTCTCTTTGTGTCAATATTTATCATATGTGAAACAAAAGTCACCACACAATTTGTTGTCCAAATCATGACACCTTTGACAATGAAAGTGGCAATAACTATTTCCAGATAATGGGTGCAGTCATATGAGAACTCTGTTTCAATGTTTCTTATTTTAGATTAGCAATCTGCAAATGGACTAAACACTTAGCAGGAGATTTGCTGACAGGTGCTTTTCAAAACTCTAGGAAAGTTATGATCTTAAGTGTCAAATGAAATGTCTCAATGCTTTCTTATTTCTTTACCTGTCCCAATAAATAAAACATCATATTGGCCATCCTCAGCTTCCACTCGATCCACTGCTATCTGCTTCAGGTTATACTTTCCATCTGTTTTTACCAGTATTGGTCTTTTATGGGCAGGTTTTATGGGCTGGTACATCAGTGGATGGCTTCTTGCAAATCTGATGGCATCATCAGGGTAGTCTTTGGTGGTCCCATATCTCCCTCCATTCACTTTGCTGGCACACTGAAAAAGAATGAAGTAGGTCATTCTTTTGCTTTAAACTTCAAGCAAATTCATAACCAATTACAAGAAGAATTAGAAAAAATGATAGAAACTCAAATAATAAACTATGCATTTAGAAGTGTTTAGTACCTTTAAGTCTTCTGTTACAGAAATTGGCTCTCTATTGAAAAGTGTAAAGAGAGGCTAAATTACTTTAAACATGCATCACTAAAAATATACAGTGAGTAGTTAAATTTTGGAAAAGGCAGTATTTTAATGCCAGGATGGTTTAGAGATAGCAAAAGTGCATAATGATGTGTTTAATTATTTTCTCAAATTTGTCTCCACATTGTGAATTAAAGTTTGAAAGTAAAGAAGGTATCATTCAGTAAAACAAAAAGTTTCTTTGTTGTGGTAAATCAAAACTGCACAAAATAGCTCTTCCATCATTCAGTCTATTATGACAACACTGGATTGGTCTCACTTGACTGGCTATAGAATGTTAGTGCTGTAACACAGAAACAGGAATGGAAGGAGGGGAGATAAAAGAGAATGATGGAGGGGGTGAATTCAACTATAATGCATTGTAAGAAATTTTATAAGTGCTTCAATGTACCCCTAGCAACAATAATAAAAAAAGGGCAATAAAAAAATAAATCTGTTCAATTTTCATCTGCAGTAAATATAGAAAGAAAAAACGTTTTTTGTATTGGCTGACTATAATCTCTATAAATTTGTATTATTTTTGTTTATATTAGACACAATTGCTTGAGAAAACCGGAAATACTTTCTATAACATGTCTCAATTCTTGAATCATTGATTCTAAAATTAACTGCTCAACAGCACCTTGATTACTTCTTCAATTGTGTTGACTCAAGCTCGTGCATAAGTGTTCTTTCAGTTCACATATTTTCCTCCATGACCAGCAACAATTGCAATGATTATCTTGATAAAAGTTTTCCATTTTTAGTATAAGTACAGTAGTTTAGTAATCATATTCTGCAAAGAGGGCATTTATAACGGCTTGTTTTAAAAAATTGGAACGTACTTCTTAATTTGGCATGAATTTTTCACTTCAATGTATTTTCATGATATATAATTGGAAACACTTTGGACTTGCTTGGAAGCAATTCAGTACCCAATCACTTCCTCCAGTCTCCTTCAAGACCATGTGGCTTCAAGAAGCATTCCAGCAAAACCGCAGGTGTGGGTTTTCTCCATTTAAATTGTAATTTCAGTCAATATAGTGAAATAAAATATACTTCATGTCTTACTGGAAGTAACAATCTTAAGACAGCATGGAAGAGTGATTGTAAGGATAAAGCCTTACACTTGTCAATAACGAGGTAGGGTTTGTTTTCACTTTGGGTTTTGGCTGTGCAAAAATATTTTCTAGATGACTTGCGAATAATTGTGGAATCAGGGTAATGGTGGGGCTTCACCAGCTGCTTGTAAAGCTGTGATGATAACTTGCATGACAAGCTGAGTGTCTGCTCATCGTGACCCACATGGCACATACAGTGCTGCAGCATTTCTCCAACATAGTGGGTTCATATCAGGATCCTGGATATAAAATCATCACCACCATCATCACCATCACCAGCATCACTTAGACATGTGTTCAATTAAAAGCATAAAAATTTGATTTGCTACAGAGAATTTTAGTAGCAACAGTTCAGAGGCAAGTGGTAGAATTTTCTGTATTCTAAAGTGACAAGTTAGGAGAGGGAGCTTAGAGGCTGACCCAACTATTAGAATATTAAATCTGGATAGCATGTTTCTGGTAATACCTAGATTTGAACTCTGGGCTGTGCTTGATAGGCAGAACTGTATCACTTGAACCACCCTTCAGCTTTAGTTATTTTTCAGATAGGATCTCACACTTTGCCCAGAACCCAACCCCGGCCATGATCTTCCCAACTATACCTACTGCTCTAGCTTTTTCATTGACATAGAATCTTGCTAACCTTTAAAAAAAAAATGCCCAGGCTGGCCTCAAACTGCAATTATCCTATCTCTGCCTCCTATGCAGCTGGAATTATACGTATGAGCTACTGCTCCTACTTCATTTGGGAACTAGATGTGATATTAGTTCTTATCAAGAATCTGGAAGGAAAATATAATGCTCAATTTTGGGAGTTTCTCTGTTCACCAATGTCCATAAAAGTAACATTTCAATTGGAGTTATTTAGCCAAAATATCAATGGTGGTATGTACTTTACAATGCTGCTAAAATGTCCATTGTAGATTATTTTCTTTTTATTGTGATAATAAGCATACAACTTGATAGGAGATAGTCTTTTCCATCCAAGCATACTTTTAGATATAAAACTCCTTAGTTGTTTAATTGAAAATATGGTAATACCTATGAAACTCTAGCCAAAATATTAATAAAAGAGACTTTAAATAGTAAGAATGCTTTGTTAAATGAATACACTTACAGAACCAGGCCTTGGATAAGGGACTTTTCCTTCATAGAGTGACCAGTGGTATTCAGGTCCTTCTTATGTGCATATGGTCCATTAAAAGCTGCTCGGATGCTAGACAGATGATAGACACATATAGCATGCCCTCTAAATATGTTACTGAAAAATAAAAAAAGATGATTATTATCCTGTAACTAATAGCTCATCTGCTCAAATATATATAGATTAGAAATAAATCTTTTGGGTAAAAATCTTATAATTCCTTTAAGCATACATTATTCCAGAAACATTAAAAATTTAACATTTTAAACATTGAAATTCTGAGACTTTTCATTTCTTTAATTCCCTTTTCTTGTCCTCAGAAATGATATTGTTAGCATGACGAACTTAGTTGTGCTAAGTCACTTTATTATTGTTTCATCCTAAGCTGTGTTTATAGTGCTCTTCCAATTCAGCAGTACTTCTGTGCTTTAGTTTATTATTCCCGTAAGGTCTCTTGCTCTTTCCTTGGAGCTAGCTTGTGACTGCAATCCTGCTACCTCTGCTTCCTGTCTAGCTGGAATTATAGACATGTACCACTATCTTTTCAAAAATATATTTTATCAAAGAACTTGTATTGATGTTTAAAAAGATTTATTATCAAACTTAGTCATTTAAGGCAATGTCTACAAAGAAGTTCCATCTTCAAAGTAGACAGTGTTCTACTAATCACCATTCTGTTAAAATTGCTACAAGTTCTATTTAAAATTTATTAGACTTTTCAGTATATATGATACGAAAACAATGTAAACTCCCAGTGAAATTTACGACTTTGTTCCATTTTTTATGATGGTATCTCATAAACATCACAATTATTAAGTTCTTTATTCTAGGTGAATGAAAACTATGCTATAATGGAGTGAAGAGTGGACTGAACATATTAAACTTGAGAAAATGATTTAAATTATACAAAAAAGAATCAGTTTCCTTACCTCCAAAGCTAGCAGCAATTAATGACTTCCCTGATTAAAACAATTTCTACTTTCAGAAGAAAAAAACCCAGTAATTGACTAACTATAGCAAGTTTTATAGTGGAATTTGCAATGAGATTTTAGAAAAGGATGTGGTTAAAATATTTTTAGACATCTGGCCATATTTCTTCATTTGGCATTATCTGAATGAATTATAAGATTTTCCAGTCTCTGTATTATGAGAATCAAAATAAATAGTGTTTGGGAAAGTGCTTTGCAAACATAAAATTCTGTGTAAGTGTAGTATTTCTACACTGTGCAGCAGCTGTAGAACACACTTATGTCACTGTCTGAGGACATCAATTCACACATTTCATAGCACACCTTGAAGCAATTGGAAATGCCTGAGATGCTAGACACTAGAGACAGTCTCTCAACTGAAGTGACAATACACCTTTGATCACCATCCTACAAATATCAATCTTTATGTCAGGTAACAGCTGGGAGTTTTTTTTCCCTTCTATTTTTATATATATTCAACAGTCAACAATGAAATTATGGAAGAAAATCATGTCTTGTCTTTGATTTCTTAGAAATCCAATATGCTATCATTTAGAAGACTAGCTTATAAACCAATCATACTAATGCATAGGCAGACTATACCGGTTATCCCTTAGCTTGAGTTTATCATATAAAGTCTCTGAGTTATCGTGTAATGTATAACTTACTGGCATAAGGGAAAAGAGGCAGTAAAAAAAAATTAAGAAACTTTTCGTGGCCTGTGATCTCTACCGATCTACATTAAGGTATAATTGATAAGAAAAATTATTTTCATGTTACTTTGTTGAAGAAAACGACTCAACACAAGATACTTGTCCAAAGAGTTTTTATTTTTTTAATGTTTTTCAAAGCGAACATTAGAAATCACCTGCTGAAAAACTAAACAAAAGCTGTGTGGAAAGGCTAAGTAAACAGTGTGCAGGGTCATATTATAGTTTATGGCCAAAACAATCCAAATGGAGAACAGTAATATCATCCTATTCCTGTTAAAAGAGTTTATATAGACTATTCTTTATTTCTTACTCCAATCTTTTTATCTCCATTCTGCCTTGTTTGGAACGACATTCACAATTCAACCAAAACAAGTAAATTATTTTTTTCATTCATACATCAATACACATGAAGTATTATCTTACTTACAGCACTCTCTCATAGGTACAGAATACAAAAACATAAGCTCTAAGTTTAAGCCACACATTTAAAGACAGAGAGCAGATCATAAATCTGTGTTCACCATGACTCTATCTAGGAGCAAGAAAAGCAGAATCAGGAGCGAGATGAGTACTTGGTGACTGAGGAACTGAAGGAGAAATGGTTCTTGTACATGGCGATTGACAAGTACTAAAAACGGATATAAATTAGTGTTGGAAGAGAAAGTTAGTTCAAGAAAAAGTGAATAAGTAACATGGTGATGAGAACTGGCAACATAAACACTGGAATCTATCAAGGTATTTTCTACTCAAATGTAGAGAACTCAGGGAAATATCTTTATGGGGAATTGTATCATACATAAGTAGTGTTCAGTTCACTGAGCATGTCTCAACAGGAAGGCTTTCTTAATATTTTGGAAACTTGAAAATAAAAACTATGGTTCGTAGTGAAAAAAAAGTTTCCAAAGATGAGTGGTTAACAGTGAACAGACAACTTTGAAAGCTCAGCTTAGAAAATTCCATTTGATAAACAAAAGAGTCCCCCCTAGACTCTGCAGCATGGAGCTTATGTCTTAAAAAGTCTATGAAAAAAATTATTTTGTTGTAGGTTAGAGAAGAAAAGATTAAGACTCTGGCACAGAAGAATGTTTGGTTGCTATAAATAAAAACAACTAAGAATATGGATTGAGATTGTGGCTTTGAAAATGAAGGTACAATTGCAATCATGGAGGAGCAAAGAGAAATTGGTAACTTCTCATGTGTAGAAAACGAAAACAGCAACTGGGTCAGCAGTATTTCCAAGGTACATGCACCATGAAAAGGAAGACCAGTGACACTACGCCATGAAAGGGAAGCCCAGTGAGACAAATTTTGTTTTACATTGGTTTTATTGACTGTATAAATTTCCTCACCTGGTAGTGTTAAATAATCCAAATATTACTGGGTTCTTATGATCTCTGGTATGTAGCAAAAAAACATCCTCTGAAAAATTAAAGACCATTCCATTACTTAGTATTCTTAGCGCTTTATGCATGCAAAGAAAATGTATCATATAAAATAGTTCAGAATTTGTTACATCTTTTGAGACATAAGTTTCCATCTACAGTCAGACAACTAGGACTAAATCATCACAGAGTGAATCATTTTGATATTCTGGGTGGTCTTGCGCTGAACCACATGGAAGGAAACAGAGGCATTGTGACTCTAGGATAATGAGATAGGTCTCCATTTTTCCTACAATTCCTCTTGCTCTACCAAGTGACCAACCAAAAGGAAAAGAACAGAACCTTGTCCTAGGTCAATTACTGCAGGAAACAACTTTTCACGTGTGGCAAAGATAGAGTTATATGGAAACATACACATCAAAAAGTATAATTTAATTCTTTACCTAATTCATCAAAATACGTATCAATTCCATTCATTCCTGGTACTGAACAAACCAGTCTTGCTTTTAGGAACGTGCTCCACTTATTCACCAGTATTCTTTGCCCTCCCACATCATTCTGGGAAAAACAAAACGTAGGCAAATGAGTACCTAAAGAGCTTTTACCAACGACAGATTTAGTATTATTAAATGTACAAATGTTGAGTTATGGTTTTTTAACATTTATGTAGAAAAAGTCAGCATAATACCGAAATAACTCCAGTGATAAAAATGCCTGTGTTCTTCCCGCCCCTTAGACTTGCACATTCAGCCAGGCCAGGTACTTCACTCAGCGCTTTACATATATTTTCTAAAAATTAAACAATATCACTAGAGTAGTATCTCTTAAATGAAAATAGTGGCTTTTATGATGAAGTGACCTTGATTACAGTTTTGTTGATAAATAATCTGCTTAGCTCAGGAATGTGAAATAATCTATTTTTTTTCCTTTATAAAAGAAAGCTTGAAACACACAGACACATGCACATACTATATATATATATAGTATATATGCATATACATGCGTGTGTATATATATACACACGCATGTATATACTTCCACAGTATATATGTATATTTATAATGTCCATTCATACAAATGTAAATATATATAAATCTGTCACATTTATTCTTATATATCTTTCTAAATTGCCAGACTAACTTTACATTAGTATTATTAGCATTCTCTCAATGTAAGTTGCTAATTAAATTGATCTGAACGCTCTCAGTCTCTCCAAATACTCAACAAACTATAGATTCTCCCCACCCTGACCCTATGGAGTCAGCCAACCTTATTGTTCAAACACAATTAGTATGTTATTAGTATGTTATTTAGACTTTAAAGAAACAAAATATTTTGGTTAAATTCATTCAAAAATAGAATTTGAGCTTCTATGTTGAAAGACTAGACTTTTTCTCAGTATCACTTTGAAAATGAGGAAAATCATAAAATTTAAGCTTGTTTTAAAATAAAACTTTAACTAGATATGAAGCTCTTATGGATATGAACTATGAAAACTAATTTGGTAAATGACAACTTTAAGATGCGCACAGAACACAAAAAGATAATTTAAGTAGAAGCATATTATAAAATTTACAACAAAGGCCTGGCCCTGAATTGTGAAATAAGCAAGTGTAATGTAGTGAAATGCTGTCCTCACCACACAAAGTCGCCCCACTCTGGTGTATATTGCATGGGCATTGTTTTCTGCTTCCAGGGCCTTCTCCGTAAAAAAGAAATATAGCTTGTTGTCATCTCGATCTTCATTGTCAGGAATCATGTATGAACCTACAAACTTTGGTTCTACAGAAGTAGGAAAATGGAAGAAAAAGGTAAAAACAATACAATAACAAATAAGTTACCCTAATAAGTTATATATACTAGAATGTTTATTTTTAACTCATAAGTTTATGAGGAAATACATGCTTTCCTTGTATCTTCATACAAACATTAAACAGATAATGATTTTGATTTCATTTATAGATCAATAGACATTTAAAAACATTAAATTTAATTAATTGTTTAATGTTTAATAACATTTAATTGGGAAATAGAAGAGTCAGGGAGGCAAAAGACAATTTTAAAAAACATATTGCAAAACTTAAAAAATGCATTCAGTGCAGGTTCCGGTTAAGGACACCTCAAGATTATAATCTTCATAAATTTCCTCACATTGTACATAAAAGGGGAATGTAAAGATAAGTACCATATCAAAGTAAAGGAGTCCATAATTACTTATTTTCTTAATTTATAAATATTCTACCAGTAAACCTCATGGAAGACCGTTTTACTTTCAAGGTGAGAAATTTTAATTTTTGTGTTTATAGTCTAAGGGATTCAAGAAATGACTTTTGATTGATATGATATGTGAAACACTTTAATGATAATATGCTTATGATGATTATACATTTTGGATCCTTACATTTGGATGAAAATGCTCTCCAAAAGATGACGTTTTAGCTCCTGGATATACCAGGGCGACAAAGTATAAAAATCATTCCTTACAAAGAATCCTACATCAGTGAATGGCTAGTACACTTCCTAGAATTTTATCTGTCTCTAAAGTGCAATGTGATCCTATTAAAACAAGCAAAGCAAACCAATCACTTACTTAAACATGATACCAATTCATAAGACTAGACAAAACTTACTGGATGATGGATTTTTCCCTTGTCATGTATTTGACTTGGTTCTTTCATTTAAGTCTTGATTTCTAAGCATTACTATGAAGGTAAATTGGTTTTATAATTGAGCTAATCCATTTTGGGATAAAATATGTATCATATATATTTTAATTCAAGAATATTGCTGGTAAAAACATCCTCAAATTTTTAAAGACTGTTATATTTACATTGTTATTATGGAAATGGCAAAGTCAGCCACGAATTCTGGACTTCCAAAGGCACTCTTGTCTTAGCCCCACCTTTCAACAGGCGCTCATCGTCATGCTCGGTGCGGATGTGGGCAAGGCGCCCCATGCTGCGGAAGATTGCAGAGTCTCTGCCCCAGTAGTCACTGTAGAGTCCAGCAAACAGTTCACTACCTATATGGATGTATCATTGAATATTAAGTCAGGCTTTATTTCTAGATATAATGGTGAATTATAAACCACAATTACATAAACACATTCAATTTTAACACATATTAGAACTTATGACATTCATGGTCCTGTTGCCAAGGGCACGGATGTTACACTCATACTACAGTGGCCTGAAGCCCAATTCTGCCACTTGCTAGGCTGTGGGAACTTGCGTGCCTTGTTTCACCTCTCCGTGCCTTGTTTCACCTCTCCGTGCCTCATTTTCTTCTTCTATGAATACGAAAAGGAGTAGTACTCGGTGCAGATAAGAGTAAAGCACAGCTACAAAGTGAAAGACACAAATCTAGCATTGTGATGGAGATAACTGACTGAACTATCTGACAAAAATTACTAAAAATATACTTCGGCCAGGAGAAGTAAGAATCTTAATTAACTGATTTGGAAAAAAGAAAAAGAGTTAGGCACTGGGAAGAGTATTTGGCAAATACTAAGACCTAATTTTAGCTGAATAACCTGGTCTCATTTATTTTACTAAACCTTTTTCCACCTTCATATCATCAGGGCTTTATTTATTTATTTATTTGTCATTTTTGCAGGTGTTATATATGAACCAGTTAACTCAAATCCTTCTATAGATAATTTGCTGTCATTAACATGATTTTAATGTGGGAACTTACAAAGTGTGTCAAAAACTGTACTTAATCCAATCAGTTGTCACGTAATTTGAGATTTTATGACTGAGTCATATAGGGAGGATATAAAAAGAGCTCAAGATTTAATCAGTGAGTCAACAGAGTGACTGAATGACTTTATCTGCAACAAATGATAAGCAATCAGATTTAAAATCAAGTCAAAGAATTGCACAAATGTATGCAAGGTCTCAAGAAACAACAATGTGTCTTTGGAGCCAGAAATAAAGACATTAAACGTAGTTTAAGAAAACAGAAAACAATCTTATTTAAAAAAGTAGAAAATATAAGGGCATAACCTGAACCCTAGAAAGATCGACACCTCGCAATTACAGGCTCTTGGAATAGTCTTTCTTCAACATCATTATGAAAGATAATCAGTGTGGCCATCCATATATGAGAACCATTCTGCATACCCCAGCCCAGGCGTCCTGTTCCAGGTGAAAATACCTGACCAAGAAGCAAATGGTAACAGCAGATCACTGTAAACCACAGCCTTACATATTTTCTTAATTAATGTCATAGAAGTCTGGTCATGTTTGAAAATAAATACAGAGATGATGGTTGTTTAACGCAACATTGATGCTTTCCTGAGTCCTGAAAATTTGAAATATGCATGTATGTGCACCAGTGCTATTTAAACAGCTTTAAAGTTTAAGAGAATACTAATCTTAACATATCAAGTTATACAATTCTTTTTATTTTTTTTATTTTGAACTTTTTTTTTCCTTTATTCATATGCGCATGCAATATTTGGGTCATTTCTCTCCCCTTCCCCCCACCTCTTCCCTTGCCCCCCACCCCCTTGCTACCAGGCAGAAACTATATTGCCCTTATCTCTAATTTTATTGAAGAGAGAGTATAACCAATAATAGGAAGGAACAAGGGTTTTTGCTGGTTGAGATAAGGATAGCTATACAGGGAGTTGACTCGCATTACTTTCCTGTACATATGTGTTACATTCTAAATTAATTCTTCTCAAACAAACCTTTTGTGTAGTTCCTGGTCCCCTTCTCCTGTTGGCCTCTGTTGCTTTAAAGTTTCTGCATTAGTTCCTTTGCATTGAGGACATTAAATACTATCTTGTTTTTTTTTGGATTTCTTGCCTATCCTCATACCTCCCTTGTGTGCTCTTGCCTCATCATGTGATCAAAGTCCAATCCCCTTGTTGTGTTTTTCCTTGATCTAAAGTCCACATATGAGGGAGAACATACGATTTTTGTCTTCTAGGCCTGGCTAACCTCACTCTGGATGATGTTCTCCAGTTCCATCCATTTACCTGCAAATGATAAGATTTCATTATTCTTCATGGCTGAGTAGTATTTCATTGTGTATAAATACCCCGTATTCTTAATCCATTCATCAATAGTGGGGCATCTTGGTTGTTTCCATAAGTTGGCTATTGTGAATAGTGCTGCAATAAACATGTGTGTGCAAGTGCCTCTGGAGTAACCTGTGTCGAATTCCTTTGGATTTTTTACCAAGAGTGGTATTCCTGGCTCATATGGTAGACATATGATTAGATTTTTAAGAAGCCTCCAAATTTTTTTCCACATTAGTTGTACTAGTTTGCATACCCACCAGCAGTGTAAAAGAGTTCCTTTTTCCCCACATCCTCGCCAACACTTGTTGTTGATGGGGTTTCCAATAATGGCTATTCTAACAGGGGTGAGGTGGAATTTTAGTGTGGTTTTAATTTGCATTTCCTTTATTGCTAGAGATGGTGAGCATTTTTTCATGTGTTTTTTGGTCACTTGAATTTCTTCTTTTGAGAAGGTTCTGTTTAGTTCACTTGCCCATTTCTTTACTGCTTCATTGAGTTTGGGAGAGTTAAGTTTTTTGAATTCCCTGTATATTCTGTTTATCAGTCCTGATGTGTAGCTGGCAAATATTTTCTCCCACTCTGTGGGTGTTCTCTTCAGTTTAGAGACCATTTCTTTTGTTGAGCAGAAGCTTTTTAGTTTTATGAAGTCCCATTTATCTATGCTATCAATAGTTGCTGAGCTGCTGGGGTTCCATTGAGAAAGTCCTTGCCTATACCTATTAGTTCTAAAGTATTTCCTACTCTTTCCTGAACCAACTTTGGAGTTTGGGGTCTGATATTAAGATCCTTGATCCATTTTGAGTTAATATTGGTATAGGGTGATATACATGGATCTAGTTTCAGTTTTTTGCAGACTGCTAACCAGTTTACCCAGCAGTTTTTGTTGAAGAGGCTGCTATTTCTCCATCGTATATTTTTAGCACCTTTGTCAAAGGCAAGTTGGTTATAGTTGTGTGGCTTCATATCTGGATCTTCCATTCTGTTCCACTGGTCTTCATGTCTGTTTTTGTGCCAGTACCACGCTGTTTTTATTGTTATTGCTTTGTAATATAGTTTGAAGTCGGGTATTGTGATACCTCCAGCGTTGTTATTTTTGCTGAGTATTGCCTTGGCTATTCATGGCCTCTTGTGTTTCCAAATAAATTTAACAGTAGAGTTTTCAATCTCTTTGATGAATGTCACTAGGATTTTGATGGGAATTGCATTAAGCATGTAGATTGCTTTTGGGAATATCGACATTTTTACTATGTTGATTCTACCAATCCGTGAGCGTGGGAGATTTCTCCACTTTCTATAGTCCTCCTCAGACTCTTTCTTCAGAAGTTTATAGTTTTCCTTGTAGAGGTCTTTCACATCTTTTGTTAGGTTTACACCTAGGTATTTGATTTTTTTTTTGAGGCTATTGAAATGGGATTGTTTTCATACATTCTTTCTCAGTTTGTTCATTATTAGTATATAGAAATGCTAATGATTTTTCTATGTTGATTTTATATCCTGCTGCCTTGCTATAGCTGTTGTTGGTGTCTAGTAGCTTTTAAGTAGAGATTTTTGGGTCTTTAAAGTATAAGATCATATCATCTGCAAATACAGATATTTTGACAGTTTCTTTACCTGTTTGTATTCCTTTTATTCTTTATTCTTGCCTAATTCCTCTGACTAGGAATTCCAGTACTATGCAAATAGGGGTGGAGATAGTGGGCATCCTTATCTCATTCCTGATTTTAGAGGGAATGGTTTCAGTTTTTCACCATTAAGTATAATGCTGGCTGTAGATTGGGCATATACAGCTTTTATGACGTTGAGGTACTTTCCTTCTATTCCTAGTTTTCTTAGAGCTTTTATAATGAAATGGTGATATTGATATGATCAATTGGTTTTTGTCTTTGCTTCTGTTAATGTGCTGTATTACATTTATTGAATATGTTGAACCACCCCTGCATTTCTGGGATGAAGCCTACTTGGTTGTGGTGAATGATCTTTTTGATGTGTTGTTGAATTCGATTTGCCCTTATTTTATTGAGGAATTTTGCATCAGTGTTCATTAAGGAGATTGGCCTACAGTTCTCCTTTTTGGAAGTGTCTTTGCCTGGTTTTGGGATAAGTGTAATACTGGCTTCATAAAATGTGTTAGGCACTTTTCTTTCCCTTTCTATTTCATGGAACAGTTTAAGGAGGGTTGGCATTAGTTCTTCTTTAAAGGTCTGATAGAATTCAGCAGAGAATCCAACAGGTCCTGGACTTTATTTTTGGGGAGACTCTTGATTGCTGCTTCAGTTTCATTTTGTGCTATAAATCTATTCAGGTGATTAATGTCCTCTTGGTTCAGTTTTGGATGATCATAAGTATCTAGAAATCTGTCCATTTCTGTAAGATTTTCAAATTTATTTGAATATAGGTTCTCAATGTAGTTTCTGATGATTTTCTGGACTTACATGGTGTTTGTTGTTATCTCTCCTTTTGCATTCCTGATTTTACTGGTTTGTGTTTTTTCTCTCCTCATTTTAGTCAGGTTTGCCAGGGGTCTATTGATTTGTTTATTGTTTCAAAGAACAAACTTTTTGTTTCATTAATTCTTTGTATGGTTTTTTTTTGGTTTCTATTTCATTGATTTCAGCTCTTCTTTTTATTATTTCTCTCCTTCTATTTGTTTTGGGATTTGCTTGTTCTTGTTTTTCTAGGAGTTTGAGATGCATCATTAGGTCATTGATTTGAGATCTTTCAGTCTTTTTAATATATGCACTCATGGCTATAAACTTTCCTCTCAGGACTGTGTTGCTGTGTCCCATAGGTTCCAGTAGGTTGTGTTTTCATTTTCTTGACTTCCAGGAACTTTTTAGTTTCCTCTTTTATTTCATCAATGACCCATTGTTCATTAAGCAATGAGTTATTCAGTTTCCAGCTGTTTGCATGTTTTTTGTCTTTATTTTTGTTGTTGAGTTCTACTTTTATTGCATTGTGATCAGATAGAATTCATGGTATAATTTCTATTT